CATTTAGTTTGAGTTTTGATCGTTCTGGAAACATGTTTGTTACTGATTCATACAATAATCGAATTCAAAAATTTCTTTTGATGAAAAATTCTTTTGGTAAGTTGAATGAGATCGAGAGCTGTGAATCGATAAACAGCAAAAGGAGACGAAGATGTCTCAATGGAAAAAAACGAAAGAAAATAAACATGGTCGATAAAGATTTTAATCATAATATATTTAATTGCCAACTGCAGACATACGTATAAATTTACAATTTGATTTTCCTTTATAATTATCCTGTAATATTCTTTCTATTTTTCTCATTTTCAGCTCTTTCATTCAATCAACCGAGATTTTCTTCAACACCTACTTGGAATTCCAATGCAACTATTTTCGCTGTTCAATCGATAGTTGGTCGAATTCCTCGTGCCATTTTTGTGGACACAAACAACACTATCTATATCGCGAATCAAGAAGAGAACATAATTGTAGTATGGCATGAGGAGAGTATAAATCCAACAAAGATCATTTTCGGTAACTTTACACATTCCTCTTCTCTCTTCGTGACATTAAATGGTGATATTTATATTGATGATGGATTTAAGAATGGTCGAGTGCAGAAATGGATAGCAGAAAATAATATCTTTGTCACGATTATGAATGTTAGTTCGCAATGTGACGGTTTATTTATTGATATCCATGATACTCTTTACTGTTCAATGTCTTCTCGTCAACAAGTAGTAAAAAGATCATTAAATGATTCCCTGATGACTTCAAACCGTGTTGCTGCTGGAACAGGTATTCAAGGATCAGCCTCGAATGAACTTAATCGTCCTGTTGGGATCTTTCTGGATGTCAACTTGGATTTGTATGTGACAGATTGTCTAAATGACCGAATTCAGTTGTTTCAACCAGAGGAATCAAATGGCATTACAGTAGCTGGAAGTACATCATTAAATCCAACAATTACACTTCGTTGTCCAACTGGAATTGCCTTAGATGCTGAGAGGTACTTATTCATTGTGGATCAAGGCAACGATCGAATTGTTGGTTCAGACTCGGATGGTTTTCGATGTTTAGTTGGATGTGATGGAATGGGTTCACACTCTAATCAATTGAGTTATCCATTTAGTTTGAGTTTTG